GCGCCCAATCCCTTGGCCAATGGGGGGCGGCGACGCCGAACCGCTCAATAAACGACGGTTGGAGCCGTTGGAGAGATAAGGCGGCGGAGGAGGCGGCGGCGTGCGAACCGCGACCGTACTGCGCACGGTGAGGGGCGCCATCAGCTGCTGAACACCGTCTACGCGGAGAGGCTGCCGCCTCCTCCTCCTCCTCGCAGTGCGAGCCCAACCGCTGCTGCGTTGTGGGCCCCTCGTCCGGCCCTGCTGGTACTATGCGCGCTGCGTCCTCCACGTCAGGCTCCGCCGCCCGGTGGGGGTCCGAGCGGAGCGGCCCCGGCTCGGCCAGGAGGGCAAACGTCGGCACGGGAGCGCGCGGCGCCGCCGCTGCCCATTGATTCGTTTTTTGTCGAGGCTGAGACACAAAGGCCTCCGCGTCCTGTCGCCGCTCCCCATTGAGCAAGGTTATTACCTTCGTCATACGGAAAAGTGCGTGGGGATTTAGAGAATGCGTGGGAATGCGAGAGGCGAGCGTGGAGCACGGAGCACACCCCCCCCCCCCCTCTGCGTTCCGTGAGCTTTGTTCGTGGCCGCACTCGCCACCGGGAAACCGTGCCGGATTTTTTGTTTTTTTTACAGGATAAAAAAAAATCTCTGCTTTTGCGTTGCGCCGGAGCACTCGCAGGAGGCCGCGTCTTATTATAGCGCGTGCCGCCCGCCCCGTACGGCTATAAATACACTGCCGGGCGCAGACGCACGGCGGCACACCGCGCCGTCTCGCTCCTCTGCTCCGCGCGCTCGCAGCACAGGCAGTGTCAGCGACGGGCGTCGGTGCCGGCGGAACAGCGAGGCCTGGCTGTAAAATGGTGGGTGCGACGGCAGCCTCCCGCAGGTGTCACAGGAGACTGGCGAGAAAGAGAGATTGTTGTCGTGGCGGCGGTGGCGGCGGTGGTGGGTGGGTGGGAGGGGAGCGCTTGAATGAGTGGGTTAGTGAGAGTGTGAGCGAGCGAGTGGGTGAGTAGAATGATGGACGATTGCGTGAGTGGTGCTGTGCGATACGAGGAGGGATTTTGTCTGAAATGGAGGCGTGAGCTGTTGTGATGCAGATTTCCATGGCAGTGGAGAGGGAAGGTGGTTATATTATGTACAGTGTGGGATCTGCTCCCAGGGTTAAGGGGTCAGGCGTTAAGCATTGCCTGGTTAAGCCAGAATGAGGCTGCTCCTGGCTGAAGCTTCATCGTAATAATGGAGGTGGCTTTCAAACATGAAATTAACAGCCATGAGCACGCCACTGCTGGAAGGAGACGTTTCCAAGCATACACCATCTCTTACAGCTGTGCGATGCAGCAGTCCACTTGGCTCCTGCACATGTGCTAATTTTATCGCTCCATCTGCGTTGAGACGTTCGCTAAGCAGAGGGTGCCACGGAAAACCAGGAACCAGGGGAGGAAGCGGCTTGGCAGTGGCCTTTGCCTGCCCGTGTCTGGTTCCTCCCGTCCCTGTCGAGGGCGGAGGGGCTGCACAATGGCCTCATCTCGGGAGGTGGGATCCGGTTTCTTATCCGCACGTTGGCCCTGAGTCAGGTGTCTGGTTCACGGGGACGACGCAGGGGCGGGGGAGCCCTGCCCCTTGGATCGGCCTAGACCACGTCGCGTTCGCAGTCGTAGAACCCGAGACGCCAGCGCCATGGTGTAACGGTCGGCACACCGATCCCTGCAATGCCGAGGTCACTGGTTCAATCTTCAATCTACCAGGGGCGACAGTTAAAGCAAATAGTGCCCCTCCAATTAGCATGGCTACATTACGGTGCGAAAGAAGTTCAATGTACAAGTTTCACAAATCTCCCCCACTCCTCCCCCGCGCCTCACCTCCACCCAGCAGTGTAAACGGGTAGTTGCTTGGCAGATCACGTGTGGTGGGGGTAAAGTGTGGGTACTCCTTCCACCTCTTCCGAGGCGCCTGGCTGGCGTCTGCTCTGAGGAGGGCTTCCCCGTGGCTCTGTCGAGGCCACTCCAGCCGCAGTGTCGCCTTGCACCCCACGGCATCGCTTTGAGCTGAGGCCGCGAAAGGCAGAGGAGGCGGAGGTGAGAACGCAGAGGGACGCAAGCAGATCACAGCACAGGAGCGGCAGGAGGAGCAGCAGGGTGCGGCAGCGGCAGCATGGGCAGCAGGAGGAGCAGGGAGCAGCAGGGATAGCAGGAGCAACAGTGTCAGCAGGGAGCAGCAGGGGCAGGAGGGAGCAGAAGGGGCAGCAGGAGGATGTGATTGCTGCTCCTGTGCCTTGAACCCGGCGACCCGAGCTCAGTTTCCGCTCACGGCCAACATCGGTGATGAATGATATCTGCACCGGTCCTGGGCCTACCCTGGGTCAACTCGGCATTGGACAGGCAAAAGGGCTGTGTGCTTACGTTTGTTGTATTTGACTGCGTGTTGTGGAATGCCCCAGCTCTTACCTGGTGCCTGATGAAATAATTGAGTGTGCTGCCCGGTGTGTGTGTTTACACTTCTGTCGATTATTAACGGCACAGCAAATATTTAAATTACCCTGGCTACAGACACCGCCTTTGTTGTACACAAGGCCCTATGGTTGTAGTGAACCTCTTGCGTCTGTGTGTGTGTCTATGTGCGTGATCTGGTGAATGCTGCTCACTCAGAGGAGGGACTTTGTAGGATGAACGATGAGATTTATAAGGGGCACGGGGGGACCAATAAGGTCTGAATTGGTCTGTAATAAGGCAGGCACTGATAAGAGGTTGACAGGTATGATGTCGTTCGGGAAGCCTTCCAGGACAGTACTGTACTTGAATGTACATCGGGCACAGATACAATGGGAGGCTGATCGATGCCCTGGTGCGGTCTTCGAGGGATGGCTCCCGATTAGTCAACCACGTTCTGTATGCCGACGATCTGGTGATTGCTGCTCACTCAGAGAAGGAGTTGTAGGCGCTGCTGTTGAATCTCGAGTGTGCCAAAAAGAGGTGGGGCCTTACCATCAGCCCCACAAAACTAAGCACCTACTTGGGTATTTTGTCCCACCAAACACTCCACCCCCTCAGCTCCCCATTGGTGATAGAGCATTTGTCGAGAGAGTGGAGAGTTTCCTATACCTTGGCAGTGTGCTTATGACCGGCTCCGGTTTGACAGCAGAGGTCTCACTCCGAATCAGTCGGGTGGCATTGTTTTTTCATTGGCTGCGTAACGCTGTGTGGAAACTACATGGCCTGTCGCTCTACTGTTCTTGTGAAACGTGGACCCCTCGAATAGAACATCTGGGCCGGTTAGAAACATTCATCCTGGCATGCCTACAATCCATCCTGGGTTTAACCAGGCTGAATTGTGAGCTCACAAAGCCTTGAAATATCTGGCTACAATCTGATCAGTGTGCATCTCCGGCAGGCAAGGCTGCGCTGGCTGGGTCATGTAGCCCGCATGCCGAGCCACTGTATGCCCAAGCAGCTGCTAAACGGGCACTACCTGGGCTGGAGAAGAGATGCACTGATGTGGAGCTGAGTGGACTTGCCGACGACTGGTACCTGCGGTGTCAAGATCGGCGTCTATGGAGGAGGCTTGTGAAGAACGCTACTAGGTAGTTGCAGGCAGTCGCTCTTCAGCAACAGAGGGCAGAGCAGCGATGCTCACAACAACGATCGGAGTGCCAGGTGGCTAAAATACAGAAAGTTGGCACAGTAGGGGGTACAGCTGGTTCATCTACCAGTCATTTCAGTCAGTCCCAAGACCTCCTATTAGCGAGCCTTCGACACTTCACATGGCCTTAAAGTGCACCTGGCCTGGCACAGGCGCCATGGTGGCGTCACCATCACTTCGTGGCGAATTGTGGGTATTGGCTTGTGGGGAGCAGAAGTAACGGTTAGCGCGCTGTGCTACGAACCCGGCGACCCGAGTTTGATTCCAGCTCATGGCCAACACCGCTGACGATTATCTGAACCGGTCTTGGGCCTTCCCTAGGTTGACTCAGCTACAAATGAGTACCTGGTGCAGTGTGTAAACATTGCCATTAGGGAGATAAAGGTGGCCGGGCGTGGTGCTGGCCACCCACCCCCTCGTGAGCCGTGCCGAACTTCATAGGTGATCGCTTAACAGCACTTACCCCAACAGTCTGTTAAGGCTATACGGGAGATATTTGTCTTTATTTATGTGTCTGTGTGACTATGAGTGTTTGTGGAGAGCAGTGGTGTCGCGGTTAGCTTGCCGCGCTAGAAACCCAACTGCCCGAGTGCCAATTCCCGTTCACGGCCACCAACTCGTGACGATTATCTGAACCAGTTCTGGGCCTCCTCTAGGAGGCGCAGTGGTTATTTCAGCGCATTATGAAGACCCAGCAACCCGAATTCGATTCCCGCTCATGGCTAACACTGGTTATGAATATCTAGGGCCTCCACTGGGTCGACTCAGCCTCAAATTAGTATCTGGTGGGGTGTGCCAACGTTGCCACTAGGGAGACCAAGGCGGCCGGGCGTCGTGTTGGCCACCAACGCCCTCGTGCGCCTTACCGGCCTTCATAGGTGCTCGCTAACAGCATATTGGGGATCTTTGTTAGTGATGGAATGGGCTGCGTACTCTATTCAAGAGAGAAATAGATAAGCAGACAATGTATTTTATCTTCGATATATCTCTCCACATAAACATGAAGGGATATCTTACGCAGCCCACCCCCGCCGTCCCCACGGCTTTCTCGGAGTGCATAATGTAAGCAGCGTTGATTCATTATGGGCAAATTCTCTTGAGGTTTTAATAACGCGTTCACATGAGCAACAGTCAGCAAGTCAAAGGTCAAAGTGATTTTCTGCTCAAATGAGTAGCGATGCGGTGCTCCTGTCCTGATTACAGCCCTGAATCGGTGATGGAAATTCCACATTCATGTGGCGGAGGCAAGTTAATCCGTTGGACAACCACCGTTTGTTCACATTGTTATACAAACGCCGCAGCACCGTCGCTTTGGTCTCTTGGTGCGACTTGCTGGGGTCTCTGTTTGTGTGACTCGCTGGTCTCTCCGTTGTGCGCAGGCGCTAGAAGCCACTCGCTAATCGCCACCACCGCTCGCGGAGGAGGAGCAGCCGCCCATGGCCGTGACGGCAGCACGGGGAGCGGTGCGGAATTAGCGCCCCCCCCCCCACCGGTCGCTCAGCGGCCCCTCAACGACACGGAGCCGGAGAAAAACTCGCGCAAGCTCCCAGGCGCCATGGACCCCGCGCTGCCGTTGCGCATTCTTAACAAGGGGCCCGACTACTTCCGGCGTCCGGCCGACGAGCCGAGCAAAGCGCGCGTGAGCGCCGTGGAGCGGCTGGAGGCCGACAAGGCCAAGTACGTGAAGAGCAAGGAGGTGGTGAGCACCAAGCAGCAGCCCATCAAGCCGTGCGCGCCGGCGCGCCCACCGCTCTGCACGGCCGTGCGCCGCACCCATTCGCCGGCCCGCGCCGGCGGCGGGCAGGGACCGTCGACGGCGACTGCGTGCGGCGGCGGCCCTAGTGCCCTCGAGGCCCTCAACAATGCGCTCAACGCCGCGCTGCTGCTGCACCACGCCGACGGCGTGGACGGGGTCGGCTCGCGCGATGCCGCGGAGCGCCGCGCCAGGGACCCGGCCGGAGCGCCGACGTCGTTCCACTACAGCATGTGCGACCTGGCGGACGCATCGCCGGCCGGGCCAGGCCTCGCCGGGTCATCCTCGTCGCCGCGAGGGGGGGCGGCCGCCAGCATGATCGACGTGTTCAGCGCGGCGGCGGCGTGCTCCGGCGCCGGCGACGGGGTAAGGTGGGACGCGTCGATCGGCGCGCGGGCGACGGAACTCGGGCCGCGGTCGCAGCCCGGCGCGGGCCACCACCGCGACGGCGCCGTCGCCAGGCCACTGAGCGAGACGGCCTTCATGGGCCACATGGAGTGGCCGCGCGTGCTCTACGGCGGCGGGCAGCAGGATGCCAAGGACAAGGGTGGGCCGCCGACGCAAGCCGGCGCCGTCGGCGCGCAGGTCGGGTGTTCGCAGGCTGCGGCGGTCGCCCCGTCGCAGTGTCGCGCCACCCAGGCGAGGTCGTCCCAGTCGCACGGCACCGGCCTCACGCAGCGGCCACCTCCTCCCGCGCACGCGGGGCACCAGCCGCAGGCCGCCCACGCCGGTTACCCCGGCCACGGGGCGCCGCCCCCACACCCTCCTGCGTTCCCCTCCTACGCCTCCCCATGCCACGCACCCCACGGCTACGCCGCGCCAGGCGTCGCAGTTCGGCCTCGCGCCGGCACCAGAGCTCGCGGCGCCGGGCCCGGTGAATCAAGGCGGCGCCACGGAGAGAGGCGACGGGGCGCTCGGCGCGAAGCTGTGGGCGCGCGCCGGCGCGCTAGAGGCTTACCGCCGCTGGTGCGCCGAGTCGGTGCGCTCGCACCCCAACGGGGAGCAGCGCGGCGGTGGCGGTGGCGGCAGCCCCCTGGGGGGCGGCAACAACGTGGTGCGGCGCCTCTTCCAGGTGAGAGCTTCCCCCACACAGAGGTTCGTAGACTCGCATGGAGACCCACAGAGGGTCACAGTGGCTAGGAGATGTTAACTATCTCGCCCGGTATGCAGGAGGTCGTAGGTTTGAACCCAACCCTGACGCCTGCTCTATATTTGGCGTGTCTCTCTCCCCACGGTTGCGTGGATTTTTCCCCGAGTTCTCCGGTTTTTTCCTCCACATTTAGAATCAACATCACGCGTTTAGAGTATTCGTTGAGCAATCATTTGTGGGCAAGTCGTTTCTGAAAAAGAGCTATATTGCTCAGTGGCCCTGGATTTGATTCCTGATCCAGGCGGTTCTCCGTTTGGGTGATCTTTCCCTTTTCCGCGTGGGTTTCCTCCGGGTTTCCTGCTTTTCTCGCATAGATAAAACGAAAAAAATGCAATGCAAGCATCTCATTGGAGCAGGATCCTCCTGAATAATATTTTTCGGGTAAATAAGTAAAATCACCAAAGCCTGCCTCGTCCAATCCCCACCGACTGTGCTCTGCTGCCATTACCACGCCGTCACGCGATTGCCGAACCACTGTGACGACGCGCTCGCCCCGTCTGTGACGCGCTCGCCCCGTCTGTGACGCGCTCCCCGCGCCCCCCCCACGTCAGATGCTGGAGACCACGGAGCAGCAGATGTCTGCGGCGGCCAGCATGGCGCGCTTCTCGAACGGGGAGCCGCGCTGCGAGGCGGCGCCGCCCGGCGCGTCCCTCGAAGGCCTCCTGTCGCCCGACTCCACGCAGGTACGGGGCACAGAACCAAACGTCGGTTATCGTGGTGCCAACCGACGTGTGGCGGCACGAGCCGCGAGCACGTCGCAGAGCTGTGCGCCACGACCCGCGGCAACCCCCCCAGCGGACATTAGACCCTTGTTTCTAAACTATTTAAACTAAACTATTTTATTGTATTTGTTTACTTAAAACTTTCATGACGGCAGGAATTAATATTCTTTGGTTCTTTCGGTAAAGTCACGTAGATATAAAAATAATAATAAAAATAAAGTGAATAAAAAAACATTAATATAGAGTGTAGCCTGGTTATTTACCTTGGTGAGTGTACTGGCAGTCTACAATGTAGACTGTAGCCTGGTTTTTAAGCTTGGTATTGGCATTCTATAATGTACATGTAGCAATGGTTATAAAACTGAGTGAGCGTACTGCCAGTCTATAATGTAGACTGTAGCCTGGTTCTTAACCTGAGTGAGCATAACGGCAGTCTATAATGTAGACTTATTCTTGGTTCTTTCCGGAATGAAAAATGTAATTAAAGTAATAATGGTAAAATAATAATAAGGTAAAAAAAACACGACGTTTCGATCACAACACAAGCGACCGTCTTCAGGAGGAAAGAGGGAGATGGTCGCCTAAGGCAACCGCTGATAAAGGTTTCAAAGATGGGCGTGGCACAAGAGAAAAAGCTCCTGAGCTGCAACGAAGTGGGCGGGGCAGAGAGCACCAATGTGAAGCGCAATTTAATTTTGCCAGGTAAGGCCGCACTGAGCTCCGTAGCTGTTTTCATAAAGCGACCTGACTACAAATGATAGCTCAACGAAATTTATACGAGCCAAATACTCTAAACGCACGTTGATTCTAAATATGAAGGGAAAAACCGGGGGACCTCGAGAAAAATCCAGGCGACCGTGGGGAGAACCTATAGACTCCATATATCGAGGCGTCGGGGTCGATCTCGAACCCATGACCTCCTTGATACCAGCTGAGGTAGTTCACGTCGCGCCACCATGGCACCCTCAATCGGGAGCATAAATAATGGTCAAAATTACCTGGATTGGTGAGATTTTTCTGGATGAATGAGCAACATCATTACAGCTGTTTGGGTTGTCGATCTTTACATACCCTGAGGCTGGTTGTTCATATGGTGGAGTTAATCTGTACCTTACACTGAGCGTGTCGGTGGTGCATCTGTCGGTTAACCTGGGTCTGTTTCGTGCCCTGCCAGTAACGAGCCTTCCACACTTCACGTGAAGGCCTTGAGGTGCGCCTAGCCTGGCACGAGCAGCACTGCGTTGATATCGCCGCCACTTCTTGGCGAATGGCCAGCCGCTGCCACTGTTGTCATCGTTCCTAATTGTTCGTTTCTGTCCCTGCGTGCGTGTGCGCACCGTCGGCCAGGGCGAGCTGGAGATGAGCACCCATAGCTCTCCGCGCAAGGCCTCCGAGGCGGGCAGCAGCGGGAGCGGCTGGCGCCCGGCGCTGCAGCGCTCCAAGTCGGACCTGAGCTCGCGCCTGGCGCGCACCGGCGCCGACATCGAGCGCTTCTTCAACTACTGCGGCCTGGACCCCGCGTTGCTGGAGGGCGATGGCCTGGAGGGGCTGGCGCGCGCGGGCTCCGACATCCTCTCGCTCAACCTGCAGAGCGCCAGCGTGCAGAGCCTCAGCTCGGCGCCGTCGCACCGCAGCAGCCAGGTGGAGGCGGAGGAGCGGCAGCGAGCTGCCTGCGCCATCTCCGTGGTGGAGCGCAATGCCCGCGTCATCAAATGGCTCTACAGCTGCAGGCAGGCGGTGCTGCACCAGAAGGCCAGCGTCGTGTAGGTCGCCGACCGCCCCCCAACGAGCCCCCGGTGGACCCCGACAGTCCAGCCACCCCCTCCCGCCCGCTCGCGTGGAAGCCTCCAGCATGCGGAAATACATTTCGCGAGCGAGCCGAGGGAGGGGACGAGAGAGCCGTGCGAATGCGCCGCCACTTGGCAGGCTCGCCGCACGGCTAAGGGAGTCGTCGTCCTTGTTGTTGTTGGCTTCATGCCCAGGCACAAGCGCCTACGTGCAGGGGATATCAGCCGCGTGCGTTTGTCATTGCTCGTAGCTCAGGTGTATGGCTCTCCCTGTGACCTGTGGGGGTGGGGGGGTGCGACTGTGGCTGAGCGGCATCACCGCGTGAGACGGCGAGGTGCGCTCCTCGCCGGAGCGGCTTTTGGGGGTGCACAGGCGGCGCAACTGTCCCGGAGACCACTGGCCGGAGGGGGGCGCCCAGGGGGTGGAGGCTAATTTAATTCCCTGCGGCATAGCCCATGGCGACCATGCTATGTCGCTGCTACACACCATGGTTTGAGTTTTAATGATTTAAAGGATTTCACGAGGCCAAGACGACTGAGAATATGTTCTCAGCGTGTTGACGTTACGGAGCGATGCGCTTGCCGTTGGTCTCGTCCGGTGCAGCCTGGGGGCCTGGCTCTGCTGGGTCCAGCACCACGAGCCGGCTCGCGGACTCAGCCCTGCACCGTTCGCCCTCCTGGCTGGTCTGAATTTAAGCAACAACTTAAAACAAATTCGAACTCAGCGTTTTATTTATTTAGATTAAAATTCCGTCAGAGGGGGATCTCCGCTCCCAGGGGAGGTCGAGGTTTGTTTCGAGAATGTTGAGATCCCGCTCTTCACGAGCACCGTGGTCACGGCGCCCCCTCCGTGCCCCCACGTGCGCGTGTGCCGGCCCCGCACGCGTTGCCAGTACTGGGCGGCTGCGTGTGATGAGTGTGTGTGGACTGCGAAGGGGCGCGCCAAGGAGCCGCACCGGTTTGTCCATCGTGATCCGGCCTCGTCGCCAGCGTTGCGCGTCATCCCCGCTGCCGCCATGCAGCGCTTCGCGCTCGCTTGGGCCCAGCTGCTCGCACGCACGCACCAGGAAGCATTTGCCGTTGCGCAGCCGCTCGGCTCGCTCGGATCTTGACCGACCGATTGAGAGTGGAGCGAGTCGAGCGGAGGCGACTGGGCTTGACGCGTCCGCCGCTCGAATGACGCTTGTGCCTGTTGGCGGTTACCGGGCCGCCGGTGGGAATTCCACATTGCTACGGTGGGAATTCCACATTGCTACGGTGGAGACCGGCGTCTTCCGTAGAAACAATTTGCCGTTGACTTCCCCGTGGTGCTCAACGCCTCCCTTTCTGATCGCAAGCCAAGGATGCCGTGTCGGCGTTCCTGCCCTGGCAGTTGCCGGCACGGTTGAGCGAACAGGAGGGGTGGGGGGGTGGGCGAGCAGCGGCGAGAGCGGCGCTGCCGAGAGAGGGCACTGTCATTGTGTGGATACGAGGCGGTGTTTTTTCATGACTCGTGTTCCGTGTTCTCGACCGACACTAACGGATAGCCTTTACATATCAACACGAGCAAAGTTTATGTTTTACAGGGATACCGTGCATCTAAATTGTGAAGCTCAAAACCGTACCCGCGTGATGTCCTCTAACTTATTTTTGTCGAGGAGAAGAATATAATTTGTGACGATATCAATAATGGTAGCTTTTTATTCTGCCACAACAAAGCTCGGCCCGCGTCCTTCCAAGTTAGAGGCCCGGGGTGTGGAGCTGTAGCTCACCACTCGGCGCCGGCTGCGCGGGAGACGGACAGTGTGCTGCGGTGCCTGGCAACATGGGGCACGTGGGGCGACTCGGCAGAGAGGGAGCGAACAACCGTCGGGGAGAGATTCACGGGTACCGCCGTGTCTTGCGTCGTGTTGCAGCAATACAACGCTGCCGCCGCGGCCACTGCTGCTGCACTTGGGTTTGCTGCTGATGCTGAGCCCGCGAATCACTTGAGACGCGGGCGCGGTGTGTTTCCTCGGACCACGTGGCCGCATTTACCCTGTGCCGCACGTAACGGGGGAGAAAGTGGGGCTGTCCCAAAGTGCGGAGTGACGCTGCTGTGAGCCGCATCTCCACGCGCCGCCCGCCCCGGTTAGACCACCCCCCCCCCCCCCCCCGCTCTACGGCAGCAACTACGGCGGCACTGCTTTGAGCGATCCAGAATTGGCTTGCGATATTCATTGGTCACAGTCAGTGGTGTTATTTTAATTATTGTGTTTGACATTGCTTTTAACGTGTTTTATATTGGTATTAATAAAGAAAAAAAGCAATAGAAGTAACAGAAGCTGTGAATGGGCTGATTATAATCCCCGTGGAAGGCACCAGGTGTAGTGGGGCAACCCGAACCCCGAGGACGCGCTGATTGCAGCGGTGACTCGCGGCAAGGGTCATGCTCCTCAGGATTGACGGCTGTGCAGGGCACGCTACACGCTGCACACTGTCGTCGTGAGCAGCTGATGTGGGAATCGCCGCAACTCGTCGTGACTCGTCGTGACCACACCGTGCTCCCTTGAGGTGGCGTGGGGAGGAGAGGGCGAGCTGTGGGCAGTGGGCGCCGATTCGGAATTCGCTGTGCGGAACGAAAGTCGCCCCCTCGGCGTAGACGAGAGAAACCGCCAGCGCTCGTTGAAACTTTGCACGGATTTCTGTTCCGTGCCCATCTCGCAGCCAGCTGTGTTACCGACCGACAAGGGGTATTAACGATTGATACGTCAAATTGCAATAACGAGGCCACAGGTACGACCGCGACGGTTCTGGAACCGGCTTGAGTAGACGGATGGAGGGACGAAGCGCCGAGTCAACCCCAAACTGGGATTGGAACTCTCGCAACCTTGCGACCGCGAGCCACTCGCTCCACCGCCGAGCCGCTACCCTCCTCTGCACTTCACGATGGCGGACGGAGCCCGTGCACCGGCAAGAGCTGCGTGTGCGACATGCCAGCACGGCGGCCGTCTGTTGCCAAGCGAATCCACTCGTGTGCAGTAGGCTTGTTGATCGGTCGCGCTTGGAGTGACATCTCGTTCAAACACCAAATTACGTTGCCTAAAGGAATTATCTAAATTAATGTACCAGCCAGTGTCCTCCACAATGAAGGTTATCCGTAAAGTAATTCGATGCAAGAGAAGTATGTGAAAGCCACCTTCTGCTCTCGTAATAAAGAAGTAAATCAAAGTGATAACTTCCTGCGAATCGCAGGAACACGTTCCCCAAGTGCAGAGACGTCTCTCAGGCTGCCACCGCTGCTGATTTCGACTCCACAAGCCCGACAGCTGGCAGCGCTTGCAGCCCCCGTAGTCTTTAGTCCGCGCTCACCCCGGTGTGAGCAACGTGGCCGTGGCGAGCGTGCGAGCTGGCTCGCCGACTTTGAGTTACGCACAGAGGGGCACGGCGGCGGCAGCCAGAGACCGGGAGCGCGGCCTGGGTCGGTGTCGCAGCCTCGTCGCGCCAAGGGGTCGGGTGTGCCCCCGGTGGCGCTCCAGTTTAAGCCGCTCGATCGGAGAGGGAACTTTATGACCTCTTGACCTGTGGGGCGAAACAGCGTGGGGTAGCGACCGCTTGCCTGATGGGCGTTGACACCCCGTGAAGTCGCTGCTGCTCGTGCCTCGCATTGTTCATAAATTGAGGTGTGCAGTAACAGAGTGTACGACGAGCCGAGTGAGTCGCAATGTCCACCCTCCTAGGCCAACCCCTAGGGGGGGTCCCTCCTGGCAAAGTTCCTCCCCTCCCCCCAACGTGATCCCCTTCACTATCCCTGAGTCGTCTTTCTAGCGATTCGTGGCGAACGCTTGCATTGTTAAGAGACGGTCGCGAGGACATTTCACGTTGTGCTTGAGAGGATTTGATTTTCGGTTGAACATTCGTGATGTGCGTCGCAGAGAGTGCGTGGTGTGTCCCCGCGCCCTGCTCCTGAGACCTGACCTTTTGGACATAACCCCATCAAGCCTCGTCCACTGCGCCGGCCAGTCTGAGGCAAAGGTGATCCCTGCTTCCCGCACAATTCACCTTTGCGCCAGGCTGGTCCTTTGTGCCGTGGCTGCGCCGTGTCTCTGTGGTGGCCAACGCTGCTGTGTGGTGGCTGGTACTGCTGTGTGTGCATGTAGAGAGACAAAGGTGGCCGAGCATGGTGCTTGCCACCCACCCCCTCGTGTGCCATACTAGCCTTCATAGGTGCGAATCGCTAACAGCACTTGCTCCAACAGTCTGTTATCTTGGGTGGCTAGCACTACTGTGTGTGTGGTAGTTGTCACTGCTGTCTGTGTGGTGACTAGAGCTGCTGTGTGTGTGTGTGGTGGGTGACGCCGCTGTTTGTGTGGTGGCCGAGCCTCCAGTGAGTGTGTGTAGATCGTGGGGGGTCGCTGTACCCTCTCCGTAGCCGTGCACCGCGCGGTGCCGCTGCTGACCCTGTGTGGTCGCACGACGAGAATCTGCGTCGCTCCCTTTCCCTCTGAAGATGTCCGGAGCAAAGAGGGCCTACGTTGGGCTTGTTAAAGAAACTTTTTTTCATTTACCATTGCGTCGGTTAATTTGGGTTTGCGCGCCATTCTCACAGCGCGAGGCTGTCATGCAGCCAGACGTGCTATGTGTCGCGGACGGGTGCAGCCTGCGGTAGGTTCGCAGGATGCGGCAGTCGTCGCCTCGCGTAATCCCAATCGAAATTTGGAAAACGAACGTCACTGTGACACCGGCACAACGTGGCCCACGACGCTTTTTAAAATCGAATCGTGGAATCTTTCCGCGTCTACTGTGGAGCAGACAGCCGCGTCACATTCGCCGTCAACACCCCCCCCCCCCGCGGTATTAATCCGGCGCGGCCGCGAGGCTCGAACCCGCACACCTGTGCAACAGCCGTGAAATGCGCTCCCCACTCGGCCACGTCGCCGCCCTGAAGTTACCAGCAGCGCACGCTGCCGCAGAGCCCAACCGAGCAGGAACGAGGAGGGGCTGCGTGACCGCCGGTAGCCATGCCGGCGTTGCCGGCGTTGGCGGCGCTGGAGTGCGAGGGCCGGGTTGGGCGTGCGAGGGCACGACGATCTGAGGCCACGCCCCGTCTAGCCGAGGTGGTTTTGGGGTCGCGCCGCAATTTTTGTTTGGTACGATGTACGACGTTTCGCTCCGCGTGCTGCCGAGAGCTTATTCGGTTCCGCGTGGAGCAGAACGTCGAACGTGAGGCCGGAAGGACATGCGGTACGACGCGGGCAGAGAGCCACGCAGCAGCACAACCACGAAGCCGTTCGTTGGTTCACACCCAGCGCTTAATCGTTCTTAATTAACGACAAGATAATTATTTAACGACTAATTAATTAACTTGTCATACATATTTAGTGTCCACTGACAAATCGTATATTTTATAACATCCATCCTGTCATACCCAGGAAAAGGTCAAATTCAGCGAACGCAGTTCTGTTCACGCCCAGTCGTATGCACGTGTGTTCATGTTGAACTTCTTTCGCAGTCCCCTACGTGTGAATGCCTGTGACGCACGGACACGTGGACAAGGAGATTCACGATTGAGCTGAAGGTGCCAGGGATTGGTTCTGCAGCGTGGCAGGTGACAACAGAGCAGGGTGCCCGCACCACACTTGCTCGCATCGCAGCATTCAAAAGCAACGCTGCTGGATTTTTGCCACAGAGGTGGCCTGGTTGTTTCGTGCAATGTACGGCCCTTTGTCGATCCACTTCTGGATGAGGGCCTGGTAGGTCAGTGGCGAGATGTTAACTACCTCGCCTGGTATATAAGAGGTCGTGGGTTCAATCCCGACCCCGATGCCTGCTGTATATTTGGAGTTTGCGTGTTCTCCCCGTGGTCATGTGGATTTTTCTCCTGGTCCTCCAGCTTTTCCCTCCACATTTCGAATCAACATCACGCGTTTCGAGTATTTGGCTGTTATAAATGTCTACGTGATAAGCCACTTCGTTGAGCTATCATTTGTGGCCAGGTCGCTTGTGAAAAATAACTACTATATAGCTCAGTGGGCCTTACCTGGTAAAATAAAAATAGTTTATAATTTTTGTACTTTACCACGCTGGTCAGTGCAGGTTAGCGAAGGAAGGGGGAGTGGGGGGGGTAACAATGACCGCTTCAGATGTCGCTCACCATTGACGTTAGCCCTGGTTGGTAAAGGAAGCTCCGGAAGTGGCGCGCGACTCGCCATTGCGCCGCTGCTCCGAGCGGGCGACCATCGATTCGGGGCACGGCTGGAAGTTGCGGCCATGAGTCGCCGGCAGAGTGCATTCGGTGGCAAGGAACCAGCAATTCCAGCAGCCATAACGAGAAGTATTCTGGACATGGTGTGCCGGGGGAGGGGGGGGTCAGATTGATTTTCCGTGTCACTGACCCGGCTGAAATTAAGCCATGTGCATAGATATGAATTCATTGCCATCCTTATTATAAAATATCACAAAGGAACAAGGCATAATCGCCATACGCGCGGAGACAAATGCCACTTGTTCATCGGGCTTGTGCATACATTGTTTGCACTTGACGCTGTGAGTCTCTTCTTGCACTTTTGTAAACGCGGTGCCGTAGCTCTGTGGAGGGACGAACCCGTGGCGTCCCGATGGCGACGCTCGCCACACGAGCGCTTCCACAGTGGCACGCACGAGGCCTGGTGCTCCCCTGGGGTCCCGTCCCTCATGGCTGCCTCATCCAGAGCTTGAGCTCTCACCAAGAATATACTGGGTGTGGTGTGTCGCATGCAGAAACATCTTTCGCGTCGCTGGCGTGGCAGATAATTATTACTGTCGTGCAGTAAGGGGGGGGGGGGCGATGTTGCAGCTGTGTGCAATCCCATTTGAGTAATTTGCAGGTGATTTATTTCAGCATTGGGATGGTTAGCCAATACCAGTTACATTTTTTTTCCGTAGCCACAGAAATCCACAGCCATAGCAGGGACACACACTCAGCCGATATTGAACCCGGTTCTTATTCGGCGCTGAGCTCGGCGTCGAACCCCCGCTCTGTCTTTTCCTCTGAGTGTCGTCCCCCGCAGCCATCTTTTGCACCACACTCGTTACGTTTCCTCTTGGCTCTGCCACCAGGCCCCTGCACGTTTTATACACAGAGCCTATAATGTTGCCGTCGCGTCGCAGTCGGCGGTCCGTCGATCAAGCGAGCGCGCTTCTGCAAGGCCCCTCTTTGCCGACTGAGTTGCCACCGCTGCCCGTCTCACTGCTCACGTGCCGCCTCGTCGCGTGCGCGCGTGTGGTGGCGTCGTGGCGCAGAGGGGAGAACGGGCCGCGTGCCCCCGCCTAGGCGGACCCGGGTTTGAGTTTAGGGGCCGCGCCCTCATGCCGTGGCCGAGTGCCGTGAAGGGGACCGTGGCGCTCCGTTACTCACGGCCCGCTCGCGCAAGGGCCAGGTCACGGCGTGCGTGACGGCGTCTGGCCTCGCCGTCCGTTCTCGCCGCTCCCTGGGCTTCCGTACAACTCTGCGGGAGCGCACGGACAGACGCTGTCTATACCATTACGACAAAAATGCTTCACCAACCCGCACTGACCAGCGTGATGAAGTACGGTCAAAGAATCTCCCGTGACCGACGAGCCCGGGGGGAGGCCTTCGTTCAGTAGTGGATCGACAAAGCGCCGTCAATTATCTCGTGATAATTACAGAAGTCACGACCGCAGATCGCGAATAACGCCACGCCAAAAAACAACTCCGCCGGTGACGTCGTTGAATGCAAAAACCAAGCCGAGCACAGGATTGTGGAGCGTGGCGACGAAAGCGCCCCCGCTATGCCCCTGCGGAGCGGGGGGGGGGGGGCAGCCTCGTGCGTGACCTGTCCCCGAACCCCCCCGGGGCGATTTGTCAGGTGCCCGCCGCCCTCCATAGCAAACGAGTCCGCTCTCAATCAACCAGGCTTGACCTGGATAGAACGGAAACTTTATTGTTTCCCCGTGCAGTGTTGGTTTCTCGATTCGGCGCGTGCACGTGGTGTTATTTGTTGGTGAAGGGAGGCGTCCGCCCTTCCCTGCGCCGTGTCCAAGAAATCGGTGTCGTCAGTGGCGGTGTGGTGGTGTAGTGGTTAGCGCGCTTCGCTACGAACCCGGCGACCCGAGTTCGATTTCCGCTCGTGGCCAAAACACCAGTGACGATCACTTGAGCAACCGGTCCTGGGCCTCCCCTCGGTCGACTCGGCCTCAAATGAGTACCTGGTGTGGTGTGTAAACATCGCCACTGGGGAGACAAAGAAGGCTGGGTGTGGTGCTTGCCACCCACCCCCACTGTGTACCATTCCGGCCTTCATAGGTGCTCGCTAAAAGCACTTGCCCAAACAGTCTGTTAAGGCTACGCGGGGGATCTTTGTCTTTGTTGTTGGCTGCACCCGGACTGCTCTGTAATGCGTTTCCACCCCAGAAGTTTTAACGATCCCAGCGATGTCTCGTTCAGTTTCCATCGCAGCGTCGTCGTTATTATTATTATGGTGATTGTTACTCTGACTTTCCGGTTCTTGTCCTGATGATGCTTGACGGCGTCTCGAGCGAAACGCCGCATACCTCATGGCTGCTACATTTAGTTGTGAGCGTCGATTTTTCAACTCGTCCATGAGTTTAGTAACAAATATTACTACTACTACGCTGCTTAACCTTTATTCGGTTGACCCTTCGTGTTTCTGGCTCTGCCATTCGTGCATAATCGTCAAGGTTCTGTGCATTATCATTTAACGCAAAGTGCACCACCGCTGCGTCGATGATGAAGCCCGGCCACAGTTGGCAATGCGACGACCAGGACGGCCGTCTTAAAAACGAATCCACATGTTGTTTTGCACCGGATTGGCCGAGTAGCGAGAGCGGTCGTCGTACGGGAGGATGCGGAGCGGCACCTTCACTGATAAATGCCGTTGGGCCACCGCGGGTCCAGCCCCGCACCGTGCCGTGCCGGACGCTGCCCCGTGCCGGACAACATACGCCAGACCTTCCACCCGCAAAAGCATCTCTGGGGTAGTCTGAACACATACTCTTTGGTTTTTTCGATAAAGTCACGTAGTTAAAAAAAGAAAAGAAAAATAAATTCAATCACGACGTTTTGGAGGCAACACAAGCTTCCGTCTTCAGGTGGCACCGTCACAGCAAAATTGATACAGTGACTTTACCGAAAAAAACAAAGAGTATGGACCCTTGCAGTCACGAAAACTTCAAATCTAGAAGTCTGAACTCGTAAGTGGCATTTGGAAAGATCCGCACGACGACTCGCACGGTGACCGGAGTAACTTGGAAAATCGTGGGAACGCCAAAGCTTTTTTTTTTTGTTCGAGTCGGTCATCAGCTCGAGGCCAGGCCGACTCGGGGCGGCGGGGGGTGGGGGTCTACTCTGGCCGGCGATCTTCTGGTGCGAGCGGCCCCGAGGTGGGACGCGCGAGCGGGGTGGCTCCCGCGTCCGAGCGACGCACGCGCAGGTTGAGAGACGGACGCGCAGGTTGAGAGACGCACGCGCGGTTTTCAAAATGTAACTTGTCGTTGTTGCTGCTGCCGCCGCCTTGGGTGGCCGGTACGCAAGAACAAATAATAGAAACTCGACACAGTGCACCGATAACACGCTGCCCTGAGAGCAAAAGTAAAAAAAACACAACATGCGACGTTCTGGGCAGTGGCTCTTCAGAGGAATGGCCCAGCAGAGGCCCCGGTGGTTCCTCCCTCGTGTCGCGGAGGACGGCCATTCATGTTGAGGGCCAGGTGTTCTTGACAAATGGGGTTTTATGTTCGGACGACGTCCTGTAACGTTAATCATAACAGCATGATTACAGCGCCGATTTCAATCTTAAACGTCGTAAAATCGTCGTCGTCTTTGTTTCCCGGCTGTCGCCTGTCGCATCACGAACCGACGAGCGCCCAAGGGCCGTGGTCCTCGAGGCGACGCCGGTGGTGGTCGGGACCCCCACGTGGCTCAGGGCGGTGGCGTTTTTGCCAACGGCGCGAGTTGTGCCGAGTGGCATCGCCGCGGTGTATGAAGTCCCACCTTGCTGACGGGACTCGGTCACCGTAGAAGCCAGTGGAAGGTGGCATTGTTTAAACGGAAACTTCGAGAAGCGTGTTCGGAAGATGAAGAAGAAAAAAACCAACCCCCGTAGTTCGATGCTTTAAATGTTATTTAATTTTGCCAATAAAACCGACCCCCCCTGATCGGCTCGCGATCGTGTTCATACTTGACGTGCAATGAGGGTAGGCGCAGCCAAATCTGGAGCGAGATGGGGGGGGGGGTGTCGCTGGCAAAGGGGGCGGGGACCCCCGTTACCCCCACCGGGGTCTGGCGCGGCGTGCCAGACCCCGGTGGCTGTCTGCATCGGCCGCATGGGAGGTGTTGCGTGTGTGTGTTGTGTGCGTGTGCTACCCATGGGTACGCGTTGCCAACGGATTTATGGGAAACTTTAGTGTGCATCCAGGAGCGACGTGAGCCTCTGTAAAGCAATGGTGATGAAGCAAAGCGTCGAGCTCGATGAGTGTCTGGGAGACGGCGGTGGTGGCGATGCCTCGGCTGTTGCTGCTGCTGCTCGTGAACGCGCCGAGGGCAGCGCATCCCCTCTGCCGGGCTGCCGCACGCTGCTGCCTGTCGCTCGGCTGCCCGTCGCTCTGCCTTTCAGAGCGGTGTGCGCACGCACGCGTGTGAGTATGTGTGCTTGTGCACGTGTGTGCGTGTGCGCATCTTGCGCGCGCGCACGCCTGTGCTTTGGTGTAAATTCGAGATAAAGATTCCCTTTATGGCCTTAATGGATTGTTGGGGCCAGTGCTTTGACAGCAAGCACCTATGAAGGCCAGAACTTCACATGAGGAGGTGTTTGACCCACACCACACCCAGCCGCATATTGTCTCCCCAATGTTGATGTGTGAACGCCGCACCATTTAAGGTTGGGTCGGCCTAGGGAAGGCCCAGGATCGGTGCAGATATTCGTGAGACCGTAATAGGTCGTGAGCAGGATTCGAATGGTGCGGTGTGTAAACATTGTGTGGTCCTGGCCACACAACCCCCTCGTGTGCCATGTTGGCCTTCACAGGTGCTTGTGAACAGCACTTGCCCCAACAGTACGTTTATGCCGCACGGGGGATCTTTGTGCGAGTGCGTGCTCTTTGCGCGTCCTCTGAAATGCGGTTTCCCAGGTCAGGCTGTTTGCGCCGCTTCCCCGTCTCAAGGCTTTCGCCACGCACGACGACTGCGGGCGTGCTGGAGGGTGCTGGGATATGCCCCCCGTGGTCAGTCGCCGTGTGGCGCAAGCCCCAGGGGGAGGTGGCGTGGCTCGGCACCAGTGTCGGATGAAGCTAGTGCGGGGCATGTAGCGGATGTTATAAAGGGGCCCTAAATGAAAGAACAAACACGTAAATATTAAAACACAAATATTTAACTTGCACAGTAAAGTAATTGTATTTTTTCATTTGCCATACAACCAGATAATACGACAAATCGCTAACCTTAAACACCCAGTCGTTATAGTACTATAGTCATAGAGCAAGTGCAGAATCACTGAACCGGAATTGATAGCTTAAAAGCATTTAGCGCGGGGCCCTTGAAAGTGCGGGGCCCGTAGAATATGTAGCTACCTCTGCTTCTAGGATCATCCGGCACTGCTCGGCATGCAGCCCCGACCTGGGGACGGCGCACTTGGGTCGCCATGCGGACGACGTCCGTCGTTTTGCCGAGCACGGGCTTTGCGAAGGAACTCGATGGAGCTGCTGCTCACTTGAAGAAAAAGGCCGAGGCTCCGATGTCAGTACTTGAATTGCTGGTGTTAATGCAGCAGCCGCACATTCCACAGAACAGAAAACTGACCGGAGGTTTATATAGATTTAAACAAAACAAAAATGGTGAATCGTTGAGCTTTTTTTTGTAACGTTGAAAAACACTGGATGAGCGGCGGATCGGGCTCTCGTGGTTGCGTTTGTACTCGTCGCGTGGAATATTTTGTGACTAGAGAACGTAGAAGCGTTGGTTGAAGGTGGCGTGCGGTGAGCGTCCTGGGGGCATCGGGGTCGGTGGTTGGTGGCCAGCGGTGGTGTCGCTCTCCTCGCTGGACCCGGGGAGTGTAGGCACAGGCGCTGCCATCGGTTCGTGCAGTCGGTGTTCGTGGTTCTGTGATGCAACCCTGCCCAATAAACTCTTCTGCTGTCCGTGAGATCCCGGTGGTGGCGTCGTTCATTCGGAATCCCGCCATTCTCTCTTCTGCCCAGGTTCATCTATCCGCGCGCTTGGCTTCGTAACGGTGCGGACGAAGTTCAGCGTACGCACAGCAGGTCGCGGCCGTCGCCGTTGTGGAAAGAAACTAAAGGATGCAATGATTGGATTTTTCAGAAGCAGAATCTTTACTTATCCGGCAGAAATCCGATGAGCTATGAAGCTCTTTTTCACACAGATGTGCAGTAGGGGCACAGGGTCAAAGTTACAACGACAAACACACAAAAAAAATCATTTTCTCTTGCTCCACGTGTAATTCCGGTGGATGAGATCAATGCAGAAGTGGAATCAGCAGGAAGGAATTTCCCACGTAACCAGGCTGAGATGACGCCCCATGAGGTCACCGAAGTAATTGAAAACAGAAAGTGACGATGACGAACAACACACAAAGCACACGATCCGGAGTGCAAAGTTGAGGAAGGGAAAGCATTTCTCGCGGTGCCACGGCGACGACTCTTGGTGGCACGGAGCGGCCACGGAAGCCGACTGACTCCACAGGAGGCTCCGACTTTGGTCTTGTGGGGGCTGGGCCCCGTGTTGGGGCGCCCCTTCCCGCAAGCTCGTGCCATCCCTCCGCTGTGGGCACCATCAGACGTTGGAGATGCTCACTTGATAAGTGAGCATTGATAAGTGAGCACCTCGGCCAGGTGCCCTGACGGTTGCCAGTGGCTGCGAAACCCTTGCAGAGCGACCTCCGAGAGAGACCGAGTTGACCTCTGCTCCAACACGGTAGGGGGCCCACGGTGTTTCGTCCATGTGGCAGCCAAGCCGATATCTCTTTCATCTCTCGTGCAACGCGTACGCAAGCGATGTTACAGGGCCGCGTTTACTGGCACGGTTTGTGGAAACGCGTACCCATCGGTAGCACACACAAAACACAACACGCGACAACTACGACAACCACCATTTGCCACTAAGTGTCGGTGACGTCACCACGACGCTTGTGCCAGGCTAGATGTATGTTGAGGCCACGTGAAGTGTCGAACGCCCGCTGGCAGGTCACGGGGCAGACCCAGGTGTCACGGGTCGACTGAGATGACTGGCTGATGATGCACCACCTGTGCCCCCTACTGTGCTAACTTACTGTGCTTTAGCCACCCGGCGCTCCGCTCGTTTTTGTGAGCGTCCCTCCTCCGCCCTCCATTGTTGTTGGAGGGCGACTGCCTTCAACTGCCCAGTAGCGTCCTTCATGAGCCTCCTCCACAGAGGCCGATCTTGACACCGCTGGTACCAGTCATCGGCAAGTCCACTCAGCTCCACATCCTCCTGTACCACATCACTCCATCTCTTCTCTTGCCCGTGCTGTGCCCGTTTAGCCCTCTCGATCCGGCCGAACAAAAGCTGATTAGGCATGCAGTGCCTGGGCATGCAGGCTACATGACCCAGCCAACGCAACCTTGCCTGCTGGAGGAGCTCACCGATGGGACTTTGTCCAGATCTTTCAAAGATATGTGAGCTCCTCACGCAATCCAGCCTGGTTTAACCCAAGATGGATGGTAGGTAGGCCAGCTTAAATGTTTCTAACCGGCGAAGATGTTCCTTTAGGGGGGTCCACGTTTCGCAAGCATAGAGAAGGGAGGGAATGACTGTGGCCGAGAAGACCTGAAGCTTTGTGCAGAGCGACAGATCAGGTAACTTCCACACAACGTTACGCAACCGATGAAAAGATAATGCCGCTTGACTAATTCGGTTTGAGACCTCTGCTGTCAAACTGGAGCCGGTCATGACCACAGTGCCCAGATTATGGAAACTCTCCACTCTCCACAACTGCGCTATCACCAATTGGGAGTTGTGGGGGTAGAGTGTCCGATGGTACAAAATACCCAAGCAGGTGCTTAGTTTTGGTGGGGCTGATGGAAAGGCCCCACCTCTTAGTGGCAAGCTCTAGGTTCAGCAGCAGCACGTTCAATATCTCTGAGTGAGCAGAAATTACCATATCATCGGCAATAGGGAGCCATCTCTTGACCGCACCCGGGCATCGATCAGCCTCCCATTGTATCTGTACCCGATGGAAATTACTCCGGTACATCTATTGATGACTTCACGAACTACGTGATCGAAATAGATGTAAAATAATGTGGGAGCCAGAGGACATCTCTGTCGCACCCCAAAGTGAACAGGGAATGGCTTCAACTCCCAGCCACGTAGTTTTACCCGGGCCCGCTCACCATCATGAAGGTCCTTAATGATCGTGAGCAGCGGGGCAGGGACTCCGAAAGCACGAAGAACAACCCAGAGCCCAGGCCTACTGATGGTATCATAGGCCTTGACCAGGTCAATAAAGCAGAGATGTAGCTCTTGTTGGAATTCCCTACACCTCTGCTGTAGCATACGGACAGAAAATATGGCATCTGTGCAGGACCGCCGTTTTCTGAAACCACATTGGGGCTCTGCAAACCTCTCGTCAGCGTGCCTGACAAGGCGATGTTGAATAATCCTTGCCAGGACCTTTCCCGGCACACTGAAAATTAAATGACATATGAAGCATCGACCTACGGGGGATTGTTGAGTTGTTGTTGTTTTCTTCTTCTGAACACGCTTCTCCAAGATTTCGTTTAAACAATGCCACCTTCCACTGACTTGCACGGTGACTGAGCCCCGTCAGCAAGGTGGGACTTCATACACCGCAGCGATGGCACTCGGCACAACTCGCGCCGTTGGCAAAAGCCACCGCCCTGAGCCATGTGGGGGGTCCCGGGACCACAGGTAGACAGTGCCGGATGAAGCTCGCGCGGGGCCTGTAGCATATGGTGTTATAAAGGGGCCCTAAATAAGAAAAAACGTAATTATTAAAACACAAACTTTCAACTTGCATAGTAAAATAATCGTATTTTTTCATTTGCTATACAGCCAGATAATGCGACAACTCGCTAACCTTAAACACCCAGTCCTTCAGAAAAGTTGAAGGCGGTATAGTACTATAGTAATAGAGCAAGTGCAGAATCACTGAACCGGAATTGATCGCTTGACAGCGTTGAGCGCTGGGCCCTTGAAAATGCGGGGCCCCTAGCATTATGCAGCTACTTGTGCTACTGGGATCATCTGGCACTGAGCGGTAGCGAAAAGGCGCCGAGGGCGTCGACTCGCTTCGGCTGCAAGTGCTGTCAGCGAGCGCCACCTATGAAGGCCGGCACGGCACACGAGGGGGTGGGTCGGCTAGCAACCACGCACGGCCGCCTCTGGCGCCCAAGTTGGCCGATGTTTTTTACGCACCGTACCAGGCACTCATTTGAGGTTGAGTCGACCCAGGGGAGGCTCAGGACCGGTTCAGATAATCGTCACCGCTGTTGGTCGTGAGCGAAAATAGAACTCGGGTCGCCAGGTTTGTTGCGCAGCGCGGCGCTAACCACTGCGCCACCGCTCCGCCACCAGCGTCACAGCCTCCTGCTGTTGTGGGCGTTGTGATGAACTCGGCCAGCTCGCCTTCACCACCCCGCAGCGGGCGTGGTGGAGTATGGTTCAGTAACCCTCACGGCTCGCACGACGTGGTGGGTTGGCGGCGGCATCATCCAGCGGTGGATTGAGCAGGGGGCGCTGTCCGCGTTGCGGGCGCTCAGCGCCCCTGCTGTGCAGATACCCGGGTGGGTGGGGTGATGGGAGCAGAGCGGGGCACGGAGCTCACGGCACGGCACACGTGGGGGGGGGTGGCCAGCACCACGCCCGCCCGCCGAGTCCACTCCTCCTGAAGCACTGCCTCACTGCGGACCCAGGTGCTCATTACTCATGCGCGGCACGCATCACCGGCTCAGATCTCCCTTCGCGCGCCGTGGGGGTGGGAGGATAGAGGGAGGACGGGGGGAGGATTCAGGCCACGGGGCCTCCCTCAGTACCGGCCTCTGCGTCAAAAAATTTGCGCAGTCTGTGAAGTCACTCCGGCTCCTGCCTGGAGCCACGTGGAGGACAAGGAGGGTGGGAGGGGGAAAGGGGGTTACCGGGGGTGCCACGTGGAGGAGAGGGAGCCCGTGGTTCTTTGTCCGACGCCACGAAGCACTGGGCACTCGCAGGTGAACTCCCCTGGTGAAACAAACGCAACCGATGAGCCGGCGATTCGCTTCCCTCGCCCAACCCGTCCCTCTACGTGAGGGGTGGGGAACGTCCGGCCCGCGGGCCGTATGAGGCCAGCGAAATCATTTGGTCTCTGGCCCTGCCAAGGCAACCGCAGGCGGGACTCGAGATTCAATAAATCTCGGAGCAAACCTGGAAAAGCAGTTGCGAGTAGCAGCAACATCGTCAATACATTCTAGATTTGAAGCTTTCGTGACTGCAATGATTCATACTCTTAGGTTTTTTCGGTAAAGGCACATAGGTAAAAATGATAATAAAATTAAAATTAATAAAACTAATAATAAAAATAAAATTATAAATCACGACGTTTCGGAGGCAAAACAAGTCTCCGTCATCAGGTGGGACCGTCACAGCTAGATTGACTGTATCAAGTGATACAGTAAAACACGTGTGCCACTCCCAGCGTGGAGGGCACTGACCTCCATTCTATAATAATAACATCGACACACGGCCCTCTGTCGCTCCGCAGCTGGATGAAGGCCTCTCCCGCTGTCCAGGTTGTTTGACCATACTTCACCACGTTCAGTTGCGGTAACGCTCCCCAGTGAAGTCATCCGTGGCTGGGAATTGAACCTTGGTGGTTCAAGGGTAGGGGTCGGCAACCAAACATAACAAGGAGAGAGGTTGTTACCTTTTTTGGAATTCGGTAAAATAAAAATAAACCCCTCTCAATATTTCAAGAGGCACAATCGCATGTGAATGACTTCACGAAGCAGCCCTTATAGAGGCACGTGCGGCTACAGAGCCCGCGGGTCGCAGGCGCTCGGGCGAGAATCTCCCCTCCGCAATAATTCGAAAGTATGAATCACTGTAATGTGTGTGTGTGTGGTGCGTTACACACGTGTAGTGGGTTGAATAACTAGAAGATAACTTATCTGAGGCAACACAGTTGTTATTTAAAATTAACACTTAACACGGCTCCTCACACCCGATAACACGCCTCTCACTGGCTAATCTACAAGTCCTCCTTGAGTGAAGCTTGGATCTTCATTGGTATATAAGCTGGAGCCGACCCTTGCCAGGGGTACGGCTCTGCCTTCGGGCTCTTCCCTTCAATCTTCACTGGTATAGCTGAGAGCCGACCCTTGCCAGGGGTACGGCTCTGTCCTCGGGCTCTTCAATCTTTACTGGTATAGCTTAGAGCCGACCCTTGCCAGCGGTACGGCTCTGACCTTGGGGCTCTTCAGTCTACAGGAGGCTTCTTGTCTTCAGCTGGACGACGACTGACTCGGACCGTTCAGGGGTCCGGCTTTTATGCAGGGCCGTGGCTCGCCCCGCCCCAGCCACGCCTTCCTTCTCGAACCTTCGAGAAGGATCTGGGGGTGATGTCATCCCCCAGCCCCCCTCCTGGGGTCTGGGGTCTGTCCCTTTAACATACCGTTCCATAGGGTAACCGTTGGGCCCTATGGCCCATAGTCTCTCAGCACTGGGCTCAGCCCCTCCGTTGCCCCCTATTGGCATGTGGCCGGTACTGCCGGCAACTGCATGGGAACGGCGCATCTTAGCCCAATAACACCGTTACACACGTGTAATGCGAGCAAGGACAGGGTGGGTGCTGCCTCCGCACCACTCACGCGGGCCGGAGTATAGGGGAGGTGGAGCCTGGTCGTCGGGGTGAGTGGGGGCGGAGTCAGGGTCACGTGAGGAGGAGGAAGAGGATATAGGGGGAGAACCGGAAGGGGATCGGGAGTCGAGAGAGAGTGAAGATAGGAGAAGCCACGCGGGGTGCTGGCGGAGGAGTGGCACCAATTGCCACGTGGTCGGAGTCACGGCACCGTCGGCCAGCAGTGTACGTGGAGCAGCGGAGTGGCTGCAGAGTGTGCGGGAGCACACGGAGCAGCAGAGTGGCTGCAGAGTGTGCGGGGCACACGGAGCAGCGGAGTGGCTGCAGAGTGTGCAGAGTCACACGGAGCAGCGGGGTGGCTGCAGAGTGTGCGGGGCACACGGGCAGCGGTGTGGCTGCAGAGAGAGCGGAGGACTCGAACGGCGTGCGGGGGCACGCGACGGAAGAGGTGCGGGTCCAACCGGGGACAACGCGGGGTGCGAGACAAGAACCCAATAAAGGACAGACGGAGACCTACATCGCCTAAGAGTCCTTTATTACATTGGAGTCAGAAGTGAGACGGCATGTCGAAACAGCTCAGGAAAAAGAACATACCTGCACCATCTTCTGCACCATCTTCTGAAGATGACGACGATCTTTCTCCGGCGGTGGCGCTACCGACAATGGAAGGCGGAGGCGACGCAGGGACGGGCGACGCGCCGGGAGTGCAAGATGTTACCGGCTCAGCAGGACCGTCTGCGTTGGTGGGCACCGAGGAGGGATGGCGACACGTGGCGGCCCAACTTGAGTCACTGAGGGCTGCTTTGACGCAGTTGTGCACCCTGGTGACGCCGACGACGAGTCCGGGGAGGCCAAGCGGGGAGCATCCGAGTGGGGCCTTGCCGACGCTTCCCGCCCTCTCCAACACGCGGCACGAAACCGCCATCTTGGGCCTGGTCGGGGAGGAATGGCGGGAAGCCGCCATCTTGCTGCCTCCACTGCGGGAAGCCGCCATCTTGGGCGTGGTCGGGGACAAACGACGGGGAGCCGCCATTTTGAACACGTTACAGAGTGATACCATCTTGTCGCTGCCGCATGGATCACCATCGGCGGATGACGGCGGCGTGGGGACCCGCAGCCATCGTCTAACGACTGTGAAGAAGTTCTCCATTGGCGGAGATTGGAGCGCATTCGCCTGCCGTTTTCAAGCGGCGGTACGATCCGCAAAATGGACGGATGCGGAAGCCTAGGAGGTCTTGCCAACGCTCCTTGACGACAAGTCCGTCAGGTTCTTCCGCTCCATTAAGGCCGCGAAGAAGACGACGCTAAAGGGGGTGTTTGAAGAAATGGCGGAGGCTTATGAGCCCCCGGACGATGCACATCGCAGGTTCGTGCAGCGGCAACGGGCACCTGAAGAATCGCCGGTGGCATTCCGGGGCGCTGTGATGGAGCTAGCTATGGCCGCGTATCCGGAGATGGAGCCCGACTTGCTGGAGCCCCTGATATTGGGTAAAATTTTGGAGTTATCCAGGGATCTGGGCATCCCCATGCCGGTGTGCGGCCATGATAAGTTGACGTCCTGGATGGCAGCTAAGTGCCTGGATGCCCAATTCAACCTTCGCCGGTGGAAACAGGTGGTGGCTTGGATGGGGAGCCCCACCGTTGAAGGCGGTGCAACAGGGTGGGACCTGAAGAAGGCCGTCTATGTTCGGGACGAGAGGGGTCCTGAGGAGCTGACGGCGGCATCGACCCAGTGGCCTGCTCGAGGGGGAGCGGGGTTGCGCTCCGGGCCGCCGGCGCGGGAGCGCCAAGACAGAGGGGGTGCTGCACGGCGAGCCGACTTGGCGTGTTTCCGCTGCGGCCGTAAGGGCCACTTCGCCAGAGAATGTTGGGCTCGCATTCGGCAGCCGCCCCAGCAGGAGGCCTCGGTCACGGACGCGACGCGGCAGGACCACCCACGACAGGCAAGTCGGTACGCATCACCATCGCCATGCGGGCCGGGTGCCATTACTAACGGGGAGGCGTTCAGTAATCCGCGTCGCTCTCTGACGCAGTGGCGGAAATTGGCACGACGGGTGGTTGCGGCCGCAACTGGGTCGTCGACCGTGCCGGGTTCGATACAAGGGCTCGACGTACGCATTTTGGTGGACTCGGGTGCGTCCGCGACTATTATCTCCAACGTAATATTCCATCTCTTGTCCATTCCGCCGGGGCGGGTGCGGCCGGTTTACGACTCTTGCATAGCGGCGAACGGGGGTAGTCTGGGCATTGTGGGTCAGGTGGACGCCAGTATATCGGTTCGGGGTTTTTCGGCTTCAGGGACCGTGTTGATTTCCAGGTCCCTCGCAGTGCCCTGTTGGTTGGGGACCGATTTCCTGGCCAAGATGCCCATTCAAATAAGGGTGGATCACAATTGTATCAAATTGCCGGGGGGTCGGCAAATTTCATTCTTGCCATCACCCTGGGGCCAGTCAGCTCCTGACCGTCAGGTACAGGTGCTGTCCGAGGTATCGGTGGATATTCCACCTGGCTCGCAGATGCTTATTCCGCTGCGGTATCGGAAACCGGTGCCTGGAATCGAGGGTGCGGCGGGTGTTTTGTTATCACCGTCCACTGCTATAATGGGTGGCTTGATGCTGGTCGGGGCACAGACGATTGTCCGGCCGGGTCAACCTCCGTTTTTACAAGTGTTGAATGGGAGCGCGGATAACGTTGTTGTACCAGCCGGAACGGTTTTGGCTCACGCTACGACTGCTTTCACGAGCCATGACGATCAGGGCCGCCGGAGCCTTGTAGGGGGGGTATCGGCCTCCACAGCACAGGACGATCGATGGATTGCCGAGTTGTGCCGGGAAAATGCGTCTTTGACTGGGGACCAGCGGTCCGTGCTTCGCGCGCTGTTGGGGAGGTATTCCGACGTCTTTAGTGCGGACGATTTCGATTTGGGTCGCACCTCCTTGCTTTCCCACCACATTGATACAGGGGATGCCGCTCCGATTCGGATGAACCCGCATCGGTTGAGTCCGCCGGAGCGGGATCACATTCGCGGCGCAGTCAAGGAGATGCTGGCCGCTGACATCATTTCCCCGTCCAACAGTCCGTGGGGCGCGCCGGTGGTCCTTGTGAAAAAAAAGGATGGGAAGTTGCGGTTTTGTGTTGATTTTCGCAAATTAAATAAGGTGTTGGTTGCGGACGCGTACCCCCTGCCGCGTATGGATGATTCCCTCGATGCCTTGTCTGGGGCGAATTTTTTTTCTACTCTTGATCTCTCATCGGGATTCTGGCAACTTCCCCTGGACGAGTCCTCGAGGGAAAAGACGGCTTTCCGGACGCCACAGGGATTGTTTCAGTTTAATTGTCTTCCCATGGGCTTGAACGCCGCCCCCACGACATTCCAGCGGTTGATGGAGCTCGTGTTAACGGGTCTGCAGTGGGAGACGTGCTTGATATAATTAGACGATGTTATCGTCTTCAGCCGCACGTTTGAGGAACATCTGCGGAGGTTGGACGCGGTGTTTGCTAGAATGCGTTCCGCCAATTTGAAATTTAAGCCCAAAAAGTGTCACCTGTTGCAACGATCCGTGCGCTATTTGGGCCACATTGTCAGTTTGGAAGGGGTCGCCACGGACCTGGAGAAGACGGCGTGCATCCGTAATTGGCCGACTCCGGCCTCAGTGGGGGACGTGCGTCGGTTCGTTCGGTTCGCTTCATATTACCGCAGGTTCATTCCAAACTTTGCCACGATCGCTAGGCCGTTGCACCTCCTTATGGCTAAAGGCCGGAGATTCAGCTGGGGACCGACGGAAGAGGCGGCGTTTCAAGGCCTGCGCGATCGTTTGGCGTCGGCACCGACGTTAGACTATCCAGATTTCACCTGACCTTTTATTCTGGATACTGACGCTAGTGACAAGGGGATTGGGGCTGTTCTGTCCCAGTCTAGGGACAGCGTCTAACGTGTGGTAGCTTACGGTAGCCACGTGTTGTCTCCGGCGGAGACCCGTTACTGCATTACTCGCCGCAAACTTTTAGCTATTGTACATTTTCTTCGCCAATATTGGCCGTATTTGTATGGCCGTACGTTTATTGTGCGCACGGACCATGCGGCTTTGCAATATGCCCTG